GACATATTTTTATTATTATTTTTTAATTTAATTTTCTTTTAAAATTTTTATTTGTAGGAAAGAGTATTTTTCTTACAACATACCATATTTATTCAGACAATTTATGGGCTGCTCCATAGGAAAAACAACCCTATTGCAGGCTTGGAGGGTTTTGGAGGGTTTTAACCCCAGATCAGAGCCAGCTTTGGAGTTCCAGGAAGAACCAGACAACCCCTGGAGGATCTTCTCACTGATGTGCTGATCTCAGGACACCTCRGAAGCCCCAAAYCCCAGCCGGGAAGGAGAGGAGGCTRCAATGCTGCAAATAGGATTTAACCCTTGATTTTGGAGAGCCATAAACCTGCTTTTCCCTCACACCAGGACACAGCTGGAGCTCCCAACCCACCCTGAGGCAAAGCTGCCCTCTGGTGCCGCATCCCGGCTCTGGAAATCCAGCGATGGAAGGGAAYGAAGGCAATGGATGGGGTTACAAATCGAAAAGCAAATTAAAATAGAGAATAAGTATATAAAATAGAGAAAGTTACRGGGAAAATTCTACAGGTGGTTTAGAAATTAGAAGTGGAATCCTTGCAAATCGTATCAATTTGAATTAAACCGTCAAATCACAGGGATGGTTCTTGATGTGCCCAAAGATATCAGAGGCAACACCAAGACCCAGGGATAAACCAAGACCCAGTCTGGACGTCCCTGACCTTCTCCGACTCCTAAAAATCTTCTTTTCCCACATTTAGGGGATTCAGGGGAATCAGCRTTTGCCCAGATCCCCCTCACAGCTCCCAACCCCCTGGTGCTGTSGATAAATCATCTCCAGGGCTGAGCTGCTGCACAGTGGGGGCGTTCAAATACAGCACCGAGGGGGAGGACACCTCATTTTTTATGGGGTACTCAGGGTTTTGAGGCACCAAACCCTAAATCACCACCAATTTTAGGGCAGGAGGGCCCTCTTGTGGCTGTCACCMCGGCGGGGAGGGGAAGGCAGTGATYACAGAGCCACACWGGCACATTTTGCTGTTTAATTCACTCATCGGCTCCAGATCAAGCCCAAATCTCCCCTTTCCTCAGAAGACACACCATTTCCCTGATTCCCACCTCCCAACTCTCCCAACCGGGATGGTTTCCATTCCCAAACCCAGGATGGTTTCCTTGTCCTTGGCAGGACACAGACCAGAACTCTGATTTAAAGCCCAGCTGCTTTTCTGGGAGAGATTTCCACCCACCTGTTTACTTTGAACGAAAACTATTTGAATCGCTCTTTTTGCCATCGGGTGGGACTTGAGCCGCCTGCAGGACCCCTTCGCTCTCACTTTCCCAGAAAACTCCCAGGGATGGATTTAGGGTTTCCCACCCAGCATAGGGCAGCACTGACATCTAGCGGTCTCATTTCYGAGGATTGGAGATGCTTCATTAGCAGCTCGAATAATTGCCCCAAGTGTTTTTTTCCGGACTGAGGACAAAGGGGAATGACTAAAACTCAGCCCGGAGCCGCGATTTGGGATGTGAACCCGACTGCAAAGCAAGGAAGGGACAGCAAAGCATCCCAGACTCCYCCGAAACGGGGCGATCTCGCTGCTSCAGAGCAGGAACAGCAAACGCARCGCGGGTSTCGTCCTTGTAGCCAAAAATCCYGTGGGAGCCGAGCGCTGGGCAGRARGARCCCTTGGGGAAGGGCACGGGAGGGACCCGCCCGCTGCCCGGCCCTGCAGGGCTGGGGACACGCCGAGGGGAGCGGGGCAGACGTTTTCAAGCTGTTTGATCAAAAGGGTCCTTAAATCACAGTGACTCGGGAGTTAATGGCTTTCACATGCTCGGGCAGCCCCGAGAAACCAGAGCGGGGGGCGAGCTTTGGGGCGGCGCGTCCCGCAAGGGGTTAAAGAGGCAGGAACCCCAAAAAGCCCTGGSGTGCTCCATCCTTTGCCGGGAGGAGATGCAAAGGGGCCGCCAGGTGAGGTTTTGCTCGTTCCCGGCGCGTCTTTGGGCCGGTTCGTAACGGGCCCGGCGAGGCTGCGAGGAATTCCAGCTACTGTTTGCAGAAGGAGCCGCTAATGAAAACCAGCGGTGCCTCCGAGCTAAGATGCAAGCACGTCCTCCCAGATCAAAGATGCAGCTCCGGGAGCGGAAAGCCGGGAATAAATTACATCCTGTCGCCTGCAGCCTTACCTGTCCCAGCTGAGAGCGGGGACACCGCCTCCCCTCCTGCAGGGAGGCAAAGCCCGAGGAGGCGCTGGCACCTTTGGGGGGTTTGGGGCTGCGGGAGGCAGAGCCAGGGCTCGCTTTTGGCTTCTGCTCCTGGCTCTGCGCTTTCCTGCTGGTGTTGAAACATAAATGTGTCCCCACAGCCCGACGAGGCTGCGGAGGGAGAGAAACGCGCCCAGGTCCGCAGGGGAAAGAAGCAGCTGCAGCCTGAGCTCGCTGTCGGGAGAGGAGCGGGGTGCAGAGGAGACCGGCTGGTCACTGGGTGTTGAAGGACCACGTTAGATACACAACCACGGAAACACATCCCAGATCAAACTTCATCCTGCCTGGGCTCGCCTTCCTCCCTTCTTGCAGTTTTCTATCCGCCCAACACCTGGATTGGAAGTGTCCCCTTCCACATCTGTATCACTGTCCACCACAAACAACCAAAATAMTTTTTATTTATTATTTCCTCCTCTCCTATGGTCTCAAAACCCACACTTTAAAACTAGTAACCAGAGCCTGGGCCCCAGGGCAGCTGCTATTTGGAGCCAGGGCCGTGTGTTTTCTCCATAGGTAGGGATGTGGCTTTTAAGTGGAGATAATAATAGAGTCAGATGTAAATACACCCTGGAGTAAAGGGAGAGCACTCCTGGTTACTCAGCACTGCTGGACTCTGGTTTCCCAGGAATCCTGCAGTGCCAAACGCTGCTTTGCTCTTTGGGTTCTCTTTAAGGTTGGGCTGAGGGGATAAAAAACCCCACAGTGTGGAGGAGCTGGTCCTCACTGACAGCGAAGATCAGGGAGCACAACCCAAGCCCTGAGCGTGTGCTACTCCCTGCAGAAGGTTTAGAAAATCAGGGCATGGAGCAGGATAGCATCCACCACCCCCAGACCACAGCAAGGACGTCCCAGGATGTTCCAGTGCTGCACAAAGTGCGCTCCAGAGGCCAGGAATTTCATGAACTAATGGAGAAGGAGGGCTTCAGAGGAAAGAAGGAGTAACATATACATAGTGATTTCCCTTTCTCCGTGACAGCYGGTTGTTCCCTGTTCCTGAGCGGGTTCCCAGCCAGGGACAGAATGTTTCTGCCCATCTCCTGCCACGCTGAGCACACAGCAGCTACCTGCATTTCCAGCCTGAATCTTTTCTATTGCTGCAGGATTTTCCCTCACTGCGAGGGAATCCAGCTGGGARTTAAAACTCAGCCTGAAGCGGGGTGAATGAAGGGTTTGTAAATGAAGTCACACTACACACACACAGAAACAAACAGAAAAAAAAAGAGCAACAGGAGGAGCTGGCTGCATTGTATTATTCTCATAGGTATTTTCCACAAGTCTGATTTAGCCCGTTGTCTTACTCCAGCTGGAGGAARCCCCATGTGGATCCAGCTGTTGGTTCAGAGCATGGAAACTCCTTGTACGTGAGTCCTGCTGGAGTTTTCCCTGGGGCCCAAAGCCCTGTCTGTCCCTGGCTGAGGGGAGGACATGGGAACCTCCCGAGGCACCTTCCGTAGCGAGATGCTCTCCAGCTGGCACGGGCCGGCTGCTTTCCAGCCGGGAAGGGATGCTGAGAATCAGCCCTCGGGAGTAAATCCTTCCGTGGTGGGAGAGGGGAAAGCGTCCCAGCCCCTCTTGCAGGGGCAGGACCCCCAGAGCCTGGGGAGGATCCGACCCGTGCGAGCAGCGCTGGGGCTGAAGAAGGGGTTAATGCTGGGAGAKCAACAGGCTGGAGTTGACACTTGGAGGCAGGCGGGGCTGCCGGAGCCTGATTGGCCTCAAATCGTATCCAAAAGTGGGTTGGGGTTGGGTTGTTAGTTTGGGTTTGG